TGCCTCACATGCATGAGAAAGCTGGACAATGAATAAGGAAGACCAAAGAAGAATTGATGCCTTTGAATTATGGTACTGGTAAAGAATATTGAATATACCATGGACTGCTAGAAGAATGAACAAATCTGTCTTGGAAGTAGAGCCAGAATGCTCCTCAGAAGCAAGCATGGCAAAACTTTGTCTCACACACTTACCAGGAGGGACCAGTCTCTGGTGAAGGACAGCATGCTTGGTAGAGGGTCATCAAAAAACAGGAAGACCCTCAACGAGATGGATTGACACAGTGGCTGCAACAATGGGCTCAAGCATAACAACGATTGTGAGGATAGCGCAGGACCAGGCAGTGTTTTGTTCTTTTGTACAAAGGGTTGCTATGAGTGGGAACTGGTTCGACTGCACAAAACAACAAAACATACTAAGATTTATAACTTACTGAAAGAGACAAGGTATATACACACAATTTCTTCATTCTCCGTGTAGCAGTTCTCAGGAGGAGGAACAGTTGGTTTCAAGTTGCACTACCAGAGGTTTGTATACGCCTAAACTGGCGCCAACATTAACGCCTTCTGGAGGCGCCTTGGAAGAAGGGCCTGGCCATCTGTTTTTGGAAGATCACAGCCATTGCAAACCCTATGGATCAGAGTTCCACTCTGACACACACGGGGTCAACATGAATCGGAATTTATGGCAACTGGTGATGTTGCTGGTGGATCTATCTGAAGTCTGCATGCCCCTTTTACGATGAATTGACATGTGAAGAGTACTTCACACGTCCCTCCCCCACCAGGAAGCTAATGATGCCTGATCACACCTCATATGTATATAGCACCTTAGTTTATTTACAAGGAGCCCTGGTGGTGCAGTGGTTAAGTGCTCTGCTGCTAACAAAAGTTTGGCAGTTGGAGCCCATCAGTGCTCCTTGGAAACCCTATGGGGCAGTTCTTCTCTGTCCTATAGGGTCTCTGAGATGGAATCGACTCGACGGAGAGTTTTTTGTTAGTTTACAAAGTGTCTTCACAAATTAATTCGTGTAATTTTCATAACAAGTCTAAAACACAGGTATTATTCTAAGAAGAAATATTATTGCCTCCCTCTGCAACATGAGGAAACAGGCTGAGAAGCCTAGGAAATATGACAAGGCGGGACCTAGAGAATCTGGCTTCAAGCACAATGCTTTCCCCACCACAACGCAGCTGTCAGGAACAGCTGAAGAAATAAAAGAACTTTCACTCCCCTAGCCTCGGTCCTCTCCCAATTACACAATGGAAGGAGAGTCAGGTTGCGGCTGGGAAGCGTAAGACAGTTGCCGGCTAAGAAGTGATAATCATGCAACAGCTCTCCGCATCTGCGCTTGCGCGAGGGAGGAACACGCTCGCCGGAAAGACGCCCGGGACTCCTGGTTTGCGCAGACGCAGCGCCGTCTCAAGGCGGAACTGGGGCGTCTGGGGCTTCGGCAGCCTCCACAGCGGTTGAGAAAGGAAGGTGGCAGGCGCGGCGCAGTGCGCATGCGCGGGCCGTTCTCGCTGGGAAAGGGTTGAGAGGCGGAGCGGGGCGGCCGGCTGGGTCGGAGAGGAGCCGGGTCAGGATGGACGAGGACGTGCTGACCACGCTCAAGATCCTCATCATCGGCGAGAGTGGAGTGGGCAAGTCCAGGTGAGGCGGGGCTGGGGGCCGTGGCCGGGCTGAGAGCCGTGACGAGGCCGCTGGGGCCGCTCTCCCTCCTTGGCCGGTGCCTCTTGGGCCGCGGCGAGGACGGCGAACCGCGGCGGCCGGGCCGCAAGCCGGGCCCGGC